TGTGGGTCAGCTCCCTGGCTGGGGATCTAACTCCCACAACTGAATTTCAAAGTTAAATAACAGTTTTAATCACGATTTGCTAATTCTCAGAAATGTCTTCTTAAAAATGTGACACCAATAAAAATCTCAAGGAGGAAAGCAACTTTCTCTCACTGTATTGGCTGGTGTTGTTTCTGCCTCTCTCCCTCCCCCCCAAGCCCCTTCTTTCTAGAGGTCTCTCTGTGTTTTACCCAACTGCTTTCTGATGAACTGATAAAAGCACGCATTTCTTTCCTGAAGACAGGTAACCTGGAAATCTCCCGCTAACACGGAACCTTCAAACATCAGAGAATTTCCTCATCTATGACCAGCCGCTGAGCCCTGCTCCTCCCCCACTCGTCCACATGAATCATCAAGAGTGCAGAGAACTTAATTTACATGGTCTCTATTGTTAGGGTCAAACCAAAAAAAGGGTGGCAGCAATTTTTCTTTCTTCCTAACTTCTTGGCTTTGCTGAAGTAGGGTACTTGGGGGGAGGGGCGGGGGCCACCCACAAAACACACAATTTGCTGTCGTGACTGGCCTCTTTCACCCTTTTCTTTCCCATTACAAATAGCTCCTGCAGGTCTGTCTCCGAAGGGGCTGTTTTGGCTTGAGTTGGTCAAAAGGCGAGTCGGTGGGGAGTGCATCTTTCAGAATTCATTCCATACACGTCTCCCACTAAATCCCGCCCAGGTAAGGACTGCCACGTCCCTCTCCCTGCTGGTTTGGGGCTTCTGAATGAGACTGGAGATCCTTTCCCGCGTTTGCATATTCATGGGGCGATTGCCTAGTCTGGATGCCGCTAAAGAAGTGAGAACTTACGCTGCCGTCGTCGGTATTTTTGACTTATCAGCTGGTTTAATATTCAACCTCCCTCTCTTAGAAAACCAGAGGTACAAAACTTGATTGTATTTAATGAGGCACTGGGCTGGAAAGCAAACGACATTGCTCTGGAATGGGCACCCTGCCCCCACCCAATGAGGGCCTCTGGAGAAGTCTGCTTGGAGGTCTCAAAACACAAGTTCATATCCTGCGTCTTCCACGCTTTTGCCAGTTGACTTTGGGGACATTGCTATTACCTGAAGTGGCTGCTTCCACTATAAAATGACAAAGATAATCATATTTGCCCAACAGGTGAGCTGTGCCCAGTAGGTGAAATGATCAAATAATATTTCTATTATGCATGCTGGGACATAATTAAATGGTACTTATCATGTGACAATTTTGTTTGTAACAAGAAGCAAACTTATAGTGGCCCGTGTGGATGCAACTCAGGTTACTGACTGAAGGCTAGAATAAAAGCAGACAAGACTTGACCTTTGTTGTCCAAATTAATTTTTTTTTAATGTTTCCTCTAGAGGAGAGCTGATCCTTCCAAATTCCCCAATGAAGCCTGCTTACCCGAATCGACTCAAGTTCAAAATAAAGAGAAAGGATCTTCTTCCTATATGTTGAGGGAGCATTATGTAAATCAGAATCTGATTTTTTATGGGATACATGCAAGGGGCTTCACACAATTGAACAGTGTTCAAGAGGGGCCTCCCTGGTGGCTCAAGGGGTCAAAGCACAACGATATGAAGGTCTCCACAGGTACTGCAGCACTAGTTCCATCCCCAGCCAGGCCAGGGAGCTGACCCACATGGCGCAGCAGACCTCTCCTGTCTCCCTGCTGCTCCCTTCAGCAACGTACTTCAGTCAAACTGCCTGTTCTGCAAACCCCTGCACCTTTGATCTACACCCCAGTTCTTGTATACATAAATAAATAGAAATAAATCTTCTAAAAAATAAGCAATATTCGCCCCTCCCTGGTGGCGCAGCGGGTTAAAGCACAGCATTAAGAAGCTTAAGCCACTTCTGCATGAGTTCGCCGCCTGCCCCAGAGGAGATCCACATGGCGCGGCAGACCTCTCCTGACCTGCCCGCTGCTCCCCTCAGCAGTGTACTTCATCGATCTGCCTGTTCTGCTCCCCTCTCTGTCTCTAGTGAATCCTCTCACCCTCCGCATCTCTGGCCTGTACTCCAGTTCTATATGAATAAATAAATAAATCTTTAAAAAAAAAAGCATTTAAAAATAAAAAAAAAAGCAATATTCATGAAACCTGTTATGTCCGGGGGTAAGAACTATTTTGTCATTACTGGGAGGTTACAAATGAAAACCAGATGCCCCATCAAGGGAAAACTGCCATTTCCTCTTCTGCCCACACTGCCCTTCCTACTTTCTTTTCCTCTCGCCTAACAATCTTAATTGGGCAAGATTGCCACAGCCTTGTAAGGAAGCTAGTATCTAACCCTCAGGCTTGAAGACAAAAGTAAATGACATTACTGAGCGGAAGCCAAACACATTCTCACCTCCTTTGATTCTCCAGATGTTTTGAAATGGGGGTGTCCTACACCCTTTCATAAGATAACAGAGATCAAGCAATATACCAGAGCTCCATAGAAGTGGCAAAAAGACCAAAGTCCCGGCAGGAACAGTTGCTGGGAAAGGGACTTTGTGACTTCAAAAAGAACTAAAGAAAGATGGGAAACTGAAATGCGCAAATCTTGTAAACTCCTGTAGGGATCCTTAGTGAGAAACACAATGACCTTCTCTTCTAAAACACAGTAATCAAAGGATTCTTTGCATATTATATTATATTTGCAATCTAAACCTAAGCCCAAGTAGCATGCTCTGTGGAGATTCTGATCACAGAGAGAGGACCCAGGTGCACTGAGGAAAAGAATCCTAAAACCCACCTATCACCTTTATCGATTTCCTCATTTCTGTTTTTCATAAAGGAGCCAGTTTGAAAAAGAAGACAGTGGGTGGGTGTGACTATTTCACTCTGAATGTGTTAAACTGATTTCTCAAGGTTCTTAAAAGAGAAATGAAAGTTCTAGGCAGGATTGTCTTGGCAAAGGTTTGTTCTTGAACCATGACCTATTACTTGAGAATACTCAAGTGATTAACACCATCGGGTGTGTTCTGTCAGGTGACCCCATCTGTCTCAGCTGTCGAGCAGAGGAATAAGGCGGAATAAGGTGGTGAGAAAAGGCACAAGGCACAGTAAATGCTCATCTACAAGGAAAGACAAGACTGACTTGTCCTTCCACGACTTACAATCAATGTTTGGGAGAACAATCTGGAAAACAGATTTGCTTTCCTTTTTTTTTTTTTTAAATTTATTTATTTATGCACACAAGAACTGGGGTATAGGCAGGAGGTGCAGGAGCGGTGGGAGGATTCACCAGAGACAGGGTGGGAAGCAGAACAGGCAGATGGACTGAAACACACTGCTGAGGGGAGCAGCGGGCAGGTCAGGAGAGGTCTGCCGGCCATGTGGGTCACTCTCTGGCCCAGGACAGAGCTTGTGCTGCAGTGGCTGCCGACAGCTTCATAAGCTGAGACCCAAGCCTTGCACCACTAGGGAGGCCCCCAGATAATTTTTCTCTAATGGCTTTCCGTCCATTTCCCTACTTCTTTTCCAATATTTTTCTCTCCTATTGTTTGAAATGAGATCAGGAGGGACCACTCAAGACTGGGGGTTGGGGGATGTAAAACCTTCAGACCCCCCCCTTGCCATCCCATTCTTCTGCTATAAGCTACAAATAACCTTAAAGATGATCTGGTTGCTTGATTTCAGAGTATACTTCTGACTCAGACATGCTCATTGGCCAAGGTCACAGGGCTCATTTGTGGTTTTGGGTGCAAGTCCAGCTACAGGATCCCATGGGTGCTCTTTGCACTAATCACTTGCAGTCATCATGCTCCATAGGTGTCACCTATCTTCCTGGTGCCTCATTCCCTCTGAACGGTTGGAATTTGGCAGCATTTTCCTAAGTTAGGGTGTTCCAGCCTCAGTGATGTAGGGTAGGGTGCAGTTATTGTAAGAGACTTCAAAACCGAAACCATAGTACAGAGTCTGTAAAGAGCAATGATCTCAGCCAAAGATGCACTGGTTAGAGACACAACCCTTCAAGTACATACAGACTGTTGAGCTTTCATCTTAAATACAAATATCCAAACATTTTTTAGGCCCTAGTTTTTAATCAGTCAACAAATACAATTATGGGAACTCTTAATATTATACTTCTCCGAAAATAAGTGTTCTACCTGAAGGTTGTGAATTGTGCCCAAGCCTTCCTGTGTTACTCCTTAAGAGTAAGAAATACTAACAGAGCTAACACCAGGGCTCAACCCTGGCTATGCAGAGGTTTGGGAACAGGAGCTACTCCTCCACTCACCTTCAAATTGAATCATGCAGATCGTCGATGACACCCCTTTTATGAAGTCAGTGTCCTCTTCCTGCTTCTGCAATGCAAAATCCTTCCCCCCGGGGAGCCCATGATCTGGATCTGATTGCCTTCCTCGATTTCCACCACCCCAGCTTATCTTCTTCCTCCATTTGCTCTGCCTCCCTCCCCAGATGGGAAGCAATTCACATTCCAGGATTTCAGCAGATTGAGGGAGGGCCTGGGTTGAAGATGCAACTCCCAGATCAAAGCTACAAGGTTATCTCTTTGTTCCCACACTGAGACCGGAAGATCACTTAAGTTACACCCATGCACATGACTAGTTTCAGATGAAGCAATACTAGCAACACCCGGCTGGTGCCAGCGGAAAGGAGAAGCATGTAGTTACCTCAAAGGAAAGGGAGAGCCCAGGCATACCCACAGGCAGACAGCAAGTCCCAATAGCACTAATTAATTGTGAATCTGTGTAGGATACTTAAAGTCTCTCTTGAGGATATTAACGAGGCACTCAGCAGCACTCAAGAACTAAATGCCTGGTGTTCACTTCCTATTTTTCATTATTTCCTCTCTGATTTAACTGTTAAGTCTCTTGACAGCAGAAATCATACCAAATACCCCAGTTTTCTCCACTTCGGTGAACTGGGAGAACGTAGTGTCAAAAGGGGACTGCTGAGGGAAATCAGCTCAAAAAAAGTCAGTTTCACAATAAACATGCAGTAGTTCACACATTTGCAAAACACAGGAAAGAAAGGTGATCATTTTTAATCGTTTAAAGCTACAGTATCAAGTTTGATCAGCATATATATATATAAATACAGTTACATACCATAAATATCCCCATGGCGAAATAGCTGCCTTCAGGCATACAAAAAATGTCTTCACAACTAAATAAACTAACCTGAAGTAATACTGAAGAAAAACAGATGCTGAGGTAATTTTCATCTAAAGTGACTATAGCCTATATTAAAACATTCTTACTGTAAAAGTTCAAGTAGTTACAAAACAAATGCTGGTCTCATAACCTAAAACTGCAACTTAAACTAATGTACTTTCAAGCTAAACACAAACGTTATCATTATAAATAGGTAAAAATAAATAAAAATACCCCTGTTGAAGGTCAATTACAATTTTTTTTTCTTTTTATATGGTTGAGGTCTTTGCTGATAGCCTGGACTTTTAATAATAAAAATTTAGACATTCATGAGCCCTTTCTTGGAATCTTCAAGTAATACTAATCCCAACCAGAGAGAAAACTTCATGCATGTCAATGGGGTTCATATGCTGATCGATCTGGTCCCTTTTTTAAAGTCATTTCAATTATGAAAACATGTTTAATTGTCTTTAAAAAAAAAATCACACCTTACTAGGATACAGAGACTTGAATGAGAAATAGTATTTTAGAATTTAGAAATGCATTTTCTTAGCAAGTTACCTTACAGTATCATTTGTTTTACTAAGTTTTAATTACAGCAGAAAAAGATCTAATTCACTTTTTTCATTATTTCTGGCTATGCAAAATCCCCACCCATTGTATCTTTTCACATTCAGGCTGTAATACACCATATCCCTATAGCAAATAATATTCTTATACTTCTATTGAACTTTTTCAAAGCACACTTTCCAATTAAGATCCCAGCTGAACAGAAGCAAAAAATCTTAAGTCAAAAGAAATGAACTATCAAGTTATCTTATGTTGTAGTGACCTATAAAACCAACATTCAGCAACATGATATTCAGTGTTCTCAGAATGAAAAGTTTACTTTTAACAAGATAATCTATAAACCAAGACCATACATTATTGTGGAGTGATCACCCACAATTGGAAAGAAACAAGGAACACAGTTTGTTTCTTGGTCGCTACCCTCAGTGTAATCATTTGTCAACTCCCCTTACACAAGTTAGGCTGGGCACCAACTTTCAGCAAAAATATCAGAATGATTATCTATGCAAATATAACAGGTATCTATAATCAATTCTCTATTTTCCATGCTTTCTTCAAAATAAACAATCAAGTAGATGTATAATGTCTTCACATCCCAAAGAATGACTTCTGGGAAACCTACAACAGAAATTCAGTTTTATATATTCCATCTTCCTTTCCAAGGGCATCCAGAAGCAAGTGAGCACTTGACATCCTTCTCCAAGGCCTTCTCTCCTCTAATTGATAAAATCAGCGCTTCCTGAGGAATCACCCCTTTTGAGATTCCTCATTTCAAAGCTTCTAAAGCAGTCAGGTTCCTGAGTGGAAGAATTTGGAGATGAGGTTCAGAATCTTCTGCCGAAAATTCAGTTTGTCCCCAATTCTCCTGATTTGCATGGCGCATTCAACCTCAGCCTCTGAAATGGAAAGCACAACATCAAATTATGTGGACAAACTATAAACCAGCAAGAGTGTGTACATCCCAGTTGAGTATTGACCCAGTGAGTCCTTTCTCTGAACTTAAATGTCATGTACACCATTTTCTTAAAAAGAATCCTGGTAGACCCTCCCTGGTGGCTCAGCGGGTTAAAGCACAGCACTGAGAAGCTAAAGTCACTTCTGCGTGAGTTCGATCTCCCCCAGAGGCAGACCTCTCTTGGCCCTCCCGCTGCTCCCCTCAGCAGTGTACTTCCTGGATCTGCCTGTTCTGCTCCCCGCTCTGTCTCTGGTGAATCCTATCACCCGCCACGTCTCTGGCCTGTACCCCAGTTCTGTATGAATAAATAAATAAATCTTTAAAAAAAAAATCTTGGATATGATCAGTTAATATGGTGAATGCCACAAAGAACTGGTTAGTGGGCCAGGGTAGGAAGGTGGCCTCCTTTTCCCTCGCATATAATGTTAGTTGGGGGCAATGGAAGGCATTCTTGTTCTTTCATAGTTTCAGCTTTCAAGTATGATTTATTTTTTAGATGACAGTAAGAGTATGTCCTTCTTACAGATGTTCTTTCCCTCACTTAAGAAAACTGAATTTTTCTCATAAAAGATTCCTAAAATCTAATTCCAAAGATCTGCATTGTCCAAAATAATTTAGGACTGTACATTTCATTTTTTAAAAGATTTATTTTATGTATTCATGCATAAAAGAACTGAGGTCTAGGCTAGAGGTGAGGGTGGGAGGATTCACCAGAGACAATAGGAGGGAACAGGCAGATCTACAGAAATAAACTGCTGCGGGGAGGAGAAATCTGCCTCTCCCTGTGGGCAAAAGTCAGATAGTGCAGGAAATAGCTTTATAGCACTGAGACTTTAACCCTTGAACCACCACCAGGGAGGCCCAGAACTGTTCCCACAGCCCAATCTGTACAAATTCATTACCTTTACGGAGATGACTGAAAATTGTTTTAATTCACATATTTACTACTTTTTAGAACTGATATTGTAATTAGTTAAATGCTAATTTAAAAAACATAATGCTAATTATCTAGTTTTCAAGTCAATTTTTAAATGAAAGTAATACCACATCTATATTGACCATATTTCAACTTCCTTGGATATTTCAAAAAGCAATTCAGTGTCTTTCTAGTCCACCCCAAAATCATGATTATAAGTACTAAAATTTATAATGACTACAAATTAAAATCCGGTTTTGTGAGCAGAGCCTTCAAAAGCCCTATTTGGATTCAAAATATAGTGTAAATATGTAGTAATGTACATGTCAACAAATTTCCCTCTCTAGAAGTGGGTGAAATGTTTATAATACCTAACAAAAGACCTAATAAATCTCATTAAGATGCCATTTTTTAGATTAGAGTCAAACATTTTGTACTAACAAAGTCCTATCCTTTCAAGCGGGTAGGAGAAATTAACACACTATCCTGAAAGCCATCATTTTTCAGCCTACAATTTTATAAGACTTGATTTCTAAGTGGAACCATTATCGTTTTTACCCAAAAAAAGGAGAGTAAGAGAGCTCCTATACTTGTGTCCTTAATCTGCTACCGGTTACCCATCTATAAATGCTTTATTAAAAAAGAAAAAAAAAGTGTTAACTGTGTGAGGTGATGGAGGGTAACATTGTGGCAATCATTTCATAACACCATTAAATCTGCACGTTTTCCCCTAAAACTGACACCATGTATTATGTCATTTGTCTCAATTTTTAAAAAACCTATCACTGTCTAGCAAGGTGACGGGCCTTCCTACTGCCCCGTTACTGGTCTCCAAGTAGGCTCCGTGAAGGTGACCCACAGGTAAGGCCTTCCAGGGAAACACCGACAGAATGCTTGGCCCTCACAAAGGTGGGTGAGAGCCTTTCTCTCTCCCAAGCAAGAGCAGCATAGGGCCACTTAGGCCGAGACCACTTCCTCTGCATGCCCCGAGAGCCCCACAAAATGAAACTAACATTAAAGGGGCCCTAAGACTGATGTAATCGCTCTGTGACCTCCTCAGAGCCCTGGTTCTACCCCTCGCAGGAAGGCTTCCTCCCTCGGTAAGGTTTATAAGGGGGAGGAGGGGCAGGGGTGAAAAATATTTGACGGAGCTACTTGGTAGGGGGAGGGTGGGCAGAGTCAAGGATGGGTAAAAGGGAAGGAACCCCTACTTTTCATCTCCTTTCCATCCTTTATCATCAAAATGTTCAAATATTCTTGACAAAAACGTACGACTTGTTAGATCCCTGAACTCGAGCATCCCCGCACTCCATCACTCATTCGTCCTGGAGCGGGGCGAAAGGCAGTGTCCACGCTGGACGCTGTAATTGACAAAGCCGAAGAGGAATGCGCAGAGCCGCGGACCCACCGTCCGGGGCAGCCGAGGGGCAAGAGGCCAGGCGGCTCCCGGGGCCTCCCCCGCCCCACCTGCCGAGCCCGGACTTTCTCCTCGAGGCGTGTCCTGCACTTGCACTTTTTCTCCCAGTGGCCTCGAGAAAGGGCCCAGAAGGCTGCTGGAGAGCCGGCACAGCAAAGAGGCTTTCTGCCCGCGCTGAGACGCAGCGGCATCTCAGCCCCAAGCCGCGCGCCCTTCCATGCCGTCTCCACGACCGTGGGAAACCCCCTGAAGAAGTTTCTGGAGGCGCCCAAAAGTCACCCCAGGGGAGCAGACCCTGAGAGCCCCGCGGGCGGGCGGAGCGGACCCAGCCCCACCGAGTCCCCTCCCCGGCCCCGCCCCGGCCAGGAGCTCCGCGGGCCCCGCGGTCCCTACCTGCCGGAGCCCGGGTGGGGCTCGGCTGCGCGTTCTTACGCGCCTTCTTCGGGGGCATCTCCGCAGGCAGCCGGCGGGAGCTCTGCGGCAGAACCCGGGGCCAGACCCGCCGGGCACTCGGGCCTGCAGGACGCGAGCGGCGCGAGGGCGGCAGCCGGGGGGACGGAGCCGGAGACGCGACTTCGGGCGCGCGGGGAACCTGCGGGTGGTGGCGCGGCCGCTGCCCGCCGCTTGTTTTATGGGACTTCCCGGTGACGTAGCGAAACTTGACTCCCGGCCCACCCTGTCCCCGCCCCGGGGCTGCGAGCGCGCGCGGGGTGGACGCCCGAGTCCCGCGCCTCCGGGCGACCTGTCTGGACAAGCTCCGTCCCGCCGCGGCGCCGACCCGCGGCGGGGGGCGCAGGGCGCTCGGCCGACCCGACCCTGCGTAGCCCCCAAGTGACTCCCTGAGCAAACTGGGCTGGGAGCGACTGAGTCTGCAGCCACCGAGGAGTCACTGGCAGTTTGCTGCGGGGCTGGAAGTCGCCGCATAGAGAGGCTTTCCTACCCCGCAATTGGGGATGGGGAGCAGCCAGGGGTCCCGTCCTTATATTCCGTGGGCGAATAGAGACCTCGGAAGCAATCCCCAACGAGTTCGGAAAAGGCCAGTTTTCGAATCGATCCAGTGTAGGTGAAATGAGGGTAACTTTAATAAACTGTAGAGATGATACCTGAGGCGAGGCAAGAAAAGCCCCAAGTGGAAACTCTAAGCGAGTGAGCGAGCAAACCCCGTTTTGATGTGGAACGTGGGGTGTGGGGTGTGTGGAGGCAAGGAGGCAGCGGTACCCGGTCAGGACTGTGGTTTTTAAAGCAGAGCGAGCTTGTTCCCTCTACAGAGGTAAATATTGCTCCCCCTGGATGCTAGTAACAAAAAAAGAAGAACCGTGTAGAAAATCTTCAAATGCTCTTTGCAGCGAAGAATGAACTGCCTGGGCAATATGGGTTATTGGCACGATGTTTGGCTGACCCTTGAGTAATTTCAAAAGGAACTAAAGCGGCGGTCCCTTCAGGCTAAGCTGGCAGGTACTCATTCCCTCCCCAGAAAACCGGTCGAAACTGGCATTCTCATCGTGGCCCCTTTACAGCTGGGAAGCCTGAGGATCGCAGAGTGTAAGCGAATTGCCCAAACTCACGTCGTCAGAGGGCAATGCCAGGATCTGCAGTCGGCACGCTGGCATTGGCAGCTAAAGTGGTTCCCCACTGCAGCCTACCCAGAAGTCAGTTTCCTAGAAAATGGGGTTTCCTGTTATCTGGCGTTTCATGCAGAGCAACGGAGTCGGTGTTTAATCTGCCTGACTCCCTAGAAATACTTGGTTTGGTTCTGAAAATTTGATTTGGTTACTATTTTACAAAATGTGAGATTGCATTAAAAGCTTGGATTTCTGGCATTTTGGCAAATCAGAAGTGTTAGCCAGCTGGGATGCGGTTCCCAAAAGTGCAGACCCCACCACTGCAGCTCAGGCCAGGAAGGGGTGGCAGCCTCAGCTCCCCCAGGAGGGTCCTTGGGCGGAGTCCTCTCCCCCAGCCCCCTACTCCTACACTTTCCTGGCTGTTTGCTTTTCTCTTTACATTATCTGGCCACTTCAGCTTGTTTATTTACCTCAAATCACTCAATCAACACAATCCTGCACGTATTTACAGTTCCGTACTCCAGAAGTATAGACAACTGGATCCTCAGGACAAAACCAGACCGGATTAAACAACTTAGTTTCGAATACAGTGGACACAGATGGGGTCTTAGCAGAGATGCTGCCTTCAAATCTGTTATCTTAAACTTGGGGTTCCCAAACTTCTGGGACCCTCTCCAGCCTCAATTTGACTGACTTAATGCTTAAGGAACACCATTAATTTCCTACAGCTCAAATGTTGACCCCTGAAATGCAGTAAATACATTCAACAAAAGAAAAGCAAATTTTACCATTGTTTACCTACAAAGGGTGTGTCAATCTTGTCCTCTAGTATTATCATCACAAAAGGTTGTTGTTCACCTGAACCGGCTACATACAACTCTTAAGCCATGTCATGCTTTTTGGGGAATTGCAAATTCAAGTTGCTGGAAGGAAAAAGGAGGAGAAAAGTGGGGCAGGTGGGTTCAGGGGGGTCAAAATCAGCTGTTTACAGGAGAATTTTTTAAGTTTGGATCTGAGTTGATCCATAAACTGTTTTTTCAGATCTACCGTTTTATTAAGAGAATTAGAAATAGTGAAAAAGCTCCCTGGGATATATGCGTCTCTAGAAAAGAGAAAAACCCTTAAGAGGATATTTTGACCTTGAGGGCTGACAAAGTTAGGATTGAACAGAAAGCATTAGAATCCCCTGCTCTCTGTTAAAAGAAAGAAAATAAACGAGGGGGGAGGGCAATTTTTAAGGCCATTATAAAGGAGCAGTTTTTGTGAACCAAGTTCAAAATCGACAACGCAAGTAGCCAGGTTAGGGAAGCAACTGCGTACCCCAGGACAGAGGAGTGGACTGAGGAGATGTGCGATAATACAGGATACATACTGCTCAGTTACTTATTAAAGAAAAAAAAAGATCAACTCTTGCCATTGTGACAACATGGAAGGAACCACAGAGGGGTGATTCTAGGTGAAATAAGCTAGAAGCGGGAAGACAAATACTAGATGATGTCACCGTGTGTAGAAAAGGAACTGACCAAGCTAAACCAAAACAAAGCTAGAAACTGGACTGCAGAATTAAGGGAGTGGGGGGACAAAGCAGGGAAGGCCAGTGGTCTGGGGTAAAGGATTTGGGGGGGGGGGTTGGCGCCAGGTGTGGAGTGACACACTTGAGGAGGTATGAACCTCTTCCCTAAATCACTCAGAGTTGTAAACCGTTGTTAATCTAATAATTAAAAAAAAAGAAGTTTATGCCCATGTTGTCATTTAAGAATGTTTAAAATATAACTGTAAAGACAAACTAGCAAGTTTGACTTGTAATAGAATGACAGGCATTCATGTACTACTGCATGCAGACAATTGAACTTGACAGGAAAGCTAGAGGATATGAGAGAGGAATGGAGGGGGGAGCTTAAAGGACGTCTGTGGGAAATTTTAGAGGCTGTAGACCTAAGTCTTCTTATTACAATGAAATGAGACTTTTTCCTGTATAGTATGTTTGTTGACGCGAAATTAGCCTGGTGCCCTGACCTTATAGGTGCTTTGGCAATGGGCATGGTATGATGACGGACATATGTCAAGACTCACCCCTAGGCCCTGGGGACCCGGAGTTCCCTACCTCATGGTGCCTTTCTCAAAAGACCAGATCCCCAAATGCTCTCAAAATTCCATGTGCCTAAGAATCACTTCTGTCTTATTAAAATGCACACCTGGGGCCCTCTCTGGTGGTGCAAGGAGTTAACATGCAGCACTGAGAAGCTGTCCTCAGCCCTGCTGCACAAGTTCAATCCCCTGTCAGGGAGGGACCCACATGGTGCAGCAGAACTCTCCTGACCGGCCTGCTGCTCCCCTCCTCAGTGTATTTCAGTAGATCTGCCTGTTCTTCTCCCCTTGCTGTCTCTGGTGAATCCTCTCATCCCCTGCACCTGTGGCCTGTATCTGTTCTTATATGCATAAATAAATAATTTTTTTTAAGTAAAGGGTACATGTGTACACTGTTGGTGGGAATGTAAATTGGTGCAGCTACTATGGAGAACCAATGGTATTTTCTCAAAACATTAAAAATAAAACTACCATTGATCTAGCAGCTACACTTCTGGGTATTTACTCAAAGACAACAAAACCACCAAGTCAAAAAAGATACATGAATGTGCCCATGTTTGTGGCAGGGCTGTTCACAACAGCCAAGATGTGAGAATGACTTAAATGTCCATCAGTGGATGGAGGGATAAAGAAAATATTTTGCACACACACACGCATGCACACACACAGAGCAAGTCACTTAGTGATGGGGATCACTCTGAGAAGTGCTTTATTCTGTGATTTCATCATTGCTCCAAACCTATTTGGTATATGTAGCTTTCTGCTCTCCGAGACTGGCTGGCTTAATCTATGGGGATTGCCGCCTCATATGTAGTCTCCCACTGATCAAAACACCCTTATACCCCATATGACTGTATACATGCACTATTATTAAGTACTAAGAAAAGAATGAAGTTATAGCAATTATGACAAGAAGGGTGACCCTGAGAGTAAAGTACCATGTGATTTCGTGTATATGAAGAATCTAAAAAGAACCAAAAAAAATTAGAATCTCTGGGGAAAAAACCTAGTCATAATTACAGAGGGCAGGGCCTTCCTGGTGGCTTAGGGGTGAAATCTCAGCACTATCACCACTGAGGCCTGAGCTAATCCCCCAGCTAAGGTGCTAACCCACATGGCACAGCAGAATTCTCTGCTCCCCTCAGCAGTGTATTCCAGTCTATCCACCTGTCCTGCTCCCCACTCTGTCTCTGATGAATCCCCTCGCACCCTGCACCTCTGGCCTACACCCCAATGTTCTCTGCAAGAATGAATAAATAAAATACTTAAATAATAATGATAATTACAGAGAACAGGCTGTTGTAAAGGAGGCGAGAAGTGGGTAATAGGCTGGAAAGCAACACCTTAGTCCTTAGCAGTCCCCTCCCGAGGAGCTAATGTGTGGTGACTGTGGGTAACAATCCTGCCTTGTCTATTTGAGTGGTGCTAAGAGAACAAGCCTTAAAGGTTCTCATCATAAGAAAGTAAGATGTTTTTGTAACGCTGCGTGCGGATGGATGTTTACTAGCCTTAGCTGCAAAGCATTTTATCATGTGTGCAGTGAATCATTATGTTGTACACCTGAAACCAATATAAAGTTACATGTCAATTATACCGCAATAAAAAAAAGGCTGTCTCAAGGTTTAAGTGAGAGAAATGAAAGGGAGATAACCCCTCCAGCAGCATCCGCGCAAGTCCAGTTCTGCAGCCTGAACAGGCAGCAAAATTGCCCTCAGATCCAGAGGCAGGAGGGCCAGGACTCCTCTCTCCGCCCTAGTCAACTTCTTCCCAGCCAATCAGTGTGAAGCTATCCCCTTTCCGACCAATCAGTGTGAAGTCGTCCCCTTCCCAGCCAATCAGTGTGAAAGCCATGCCTTTCCCAGCCACTCAGTGTGCAGTCATCCTCTTCCCAAGTCATCCTGAGCACCTCTGGAATCTCCCAGTCTGTCCTTCCAGGTCAAACCTGGGTGGCTGCAA